TTTGTCAGATAATATGTTCTATGAATATTTTCTCTTTGTGATTTGTTTTGTTCATTTTCTTAGCAATGTCTTTTCATGATCTGTTTTAAATTTTGATGAACTCTGACTTAACAGTTTGTTTTCTTTTATGGTTATTGCTTTCTGTTGTCCTATCTCAAAAACTTTGTGTATCTCCAAGATTATCTTAGGTGTCTTTTAAAAGTTTTATGATGTTAGCTTTAAGTCTGTGATCATTCATATGAATTTTTGTATATAGTGTGAAGTAGAGATTGAGGGTTTTTTTTTGGGGGGGGTTGTTTTTTTGAGTTGGAGTCTCACTCGCCCAGACTGGAGTGCAGTGGCCACTCCTGGCCACCGCAGCCTCGACCTGCTGGGCTCCGGCCATCCTTCCGCCTCAGCCTTCCAAGTAGCTGGAACTACATGCGCGCACGACCATGCCTGGCTAATTTTTGACTTATTGTAGAGATGAGGTCGCGCCAAGTTGCTCAGGCGGGTCTCGAACCCACGGGCTCAGGCAATCCACTCACCTCAGCCTCCCAAAGTGCTGGGATTACAGGCTGAGCCACCAAGCCCGGCTGAAGGTTTTTTAAATACATTATTATCAAATTATTTTTGTATCATTTATTGAAAAGACTACACCACCTTTCCCCATCGGTTTTCTTTAGTATTGTTGTCATAAATCAAATGACTGTAGACATGTGGGTATATCTCTGACTTCTGTCTTTTTTCCCATTGTTCGATTTGTCTGTGCCTGTGTCATACTACACTGTCTTGATAACTGTAGCTTTATTGTAAACCTTGAGAACAGTTAGTGTAAGTTCTTCAATTTTATTGTTCAGATTCATTTAGATACTTTTGTCTTTTGAATTTCCATATGAAAGGCCCCAGCCAGCCACGAGGAACCAACCCGCCCCCTCCAAAGGCTAAGCCTAGGCGTGGCCCCCACCTAAAATGGCCCTCCCGCCTAAGAAGGCACCGGGACAAACTAACATGGAGGCTCGGATAAGGCTCTCCAGGTTCTTCTTCCACTACAAGGCCCACCATTCCCGCGCATGCCCCTACCAATCCCAAAAATGCCTTACCTGCCGACCAATAGGTAACCGACAGGTCGCTTTAAATTTCTATAAAACCTGCCACACCCTGCCTCCATGCTGCAACCTAATTCTCAGGTTCTGTAGCCACCCCGCTCGTCCCATTAAAATCTCTTGGCCTTAACGGGTGTTGAGTCTCACTGCGCCACCGTCTTTCACCATATAAGTTTTAGAATCTGCTTGCCAATAGATATCCACAAGTTTAAAAAAATTGGCCAAGTGTATACCTTCTTTGTTATAGTAATGTAAGTTGCCTTTTTAAAGATGTTAGAACTATATAAGCTATTAATTAAGTTTTAATAATATGGAGTCTTCTGACTTATGAATATGGTATGTATTTCCATTTATCAGGTCTTCTATATCAGCAATGTTTTTCATTATAGAGGTCTTAGTTACATGCATTCTTAAGTGTTCTTTTTAAATTTTTTTGTGCTATTGTACATAAAATTGTATTTTAAAATTTGATATTCTAACTTTTTTGTGGTAATGTATGAAAATGAGGGCTATATTAATTAGTTTGATTTAAGCATCCCACAATGTCAAACACATACCAAAACATCACATTTTACCCCATTAATATATACAATTATTATTTGTCAATTAAATGTAAAATTAAAAAAATTAAACATGTAAATTTAAAAATGTTCTAAGTACTCTGATTTGATCATTGCATAATCTATGCATGTATCAAAATATCATGTGTTCTCTGTAATGCACAAATGTTAGGTATCAATAAAAATAATACTGTTTTAAAAAAGTACAATTGATTTTTATATAGCGACTTTGTATTCTTCAACTTTATTAAATTAGCTTATTAGTTCTAATAGTCATTTTATAGACTTATTAGGGGTTTTCAAGTCATCTGCAAACAGAGATATCTTCCTTTGTACCTTTTATTTATTTTCATTGCCTTATTGCCATGTCTAGCACCTCCATACAATATTGAGTATAAGTGGTAGGAATGGACATCTCTTGTTCCTGAACTTAGGGGGAAACATTCAATATTTTATCATTATATATGATTTTAGCTGTAGGTTTTCAATAGCTGCTTTTTATCAGATTGAGGATTTCTTTTCTATTCCTTTTTTTTTGTTTGTTTTTTTGTTTGTTTTGTTTGTTTTGAGTCTCACTCTATCGCCCAGACTGGAGTGCAGTGGCACGCTCCTGGCCACCACAGCCTCGACCTGCTGGGCTCCGGCGATCCTTCCGCCTCAACCTTCCAAGTAGTTGGAACTACAGTGTGCGCTATCACGGCTGGCTAATTTTTTTATTTGTTGTAGAGATGAGGTCTTGCCAAGTTGCCCAGGCGGGTCTTGAACCCGCAGGCTCAGGCAATCCACTCACCTCAGCCTCCCAAAGCGCAGGCTTACAGGCTGAGCCACCGAACCCGGCCTTTTCTATTCTTATTTTGTTAAAACATTATTGCGCGCTCCTGTGGTTCCAGTTACTTGGAAGGCTGAGGCAGAAGGATCGCCGGAGCCCAGCAGGTCGAGGCTGCGGTGGCCAGGAGCGGCCACTGCACTCCAGTCTGGGTGACAGAGTGAGACTCCAACTCAAAAAGAAAAAAAAAAAAAAAACATTATTAATGAGCATTGAAATTGTTTAGTTTTTTTTTCTTTATTGAAATAATTGTATGATTTTCCTCTATTAATGTGTGCTGCTAATGTGGAGAATTATAACTTTAATTTGTAAATTTAAACCAACCTTGCATTCTTAGGATAAACCCTAGTAGGCCACGTCTTTTAACATAGTGCTAAATACACTTTATTAAAATTTTGAGATTTTTGTATCTATATTCATAAGGAATATCAGTTTATGATTTTCTTCTTTTGTCTTTGTTGAGTTCTGGTACTTGAGTAATGCTGGCCTTATATACCAAGTTGGGAAGGGTCCTGAAAATATTTTGTGTAAATGAAAGTCAGAAACAAAAAGAAAATTGCATGTAATTAATTGATTTTTCTCTTCTAAATGTGCCAAGTTGTACATTCTGGGATTTGTCACAGGCTCTGAAATAATGGAAAGGAGATGGTGCTCCAGCAAAGTTATATAAGGATGAAAACAGAATCAGCAAGAAGCAAGGCTAAGTCACACCCATAGCTGAAAGAAGTAAACAACGGCAATTGGTTTAGACATAAAGTGGCTCACCCTATTTTCACTTTGTGCAAAGCTTTTCATTTAAAATATTGCTTTTCTCTTTTGACAATATTAAAAAGAATAACTTAATAGCTTATCTAGTTCTAAGTACTTTAAAAAGACAATGAACATTCTTATAAAAAAGAAGGTATACACTAGACCATTTTTAAGCTTGTGTATAAGCTTGAGGACTACTCTCAGAGAAAGAGAAATTTCCTGGATATCACGTGTTGAGTTTCATTACTTTTATTATGGTGTTGTTGGAAATTTATAAACATAAAACTATATGTTCTTTGCTTTTATGTGACTATAAAAGAAACACAAGCAAATTAAATATGAACAAAACTTTGAAAATAAAGAAATGCAGGCTAATAATATTAATTTAGTGTAAGGGATGATATTGTTTTGCTGAAGCTAAATTAGTGCTTACAGTCTAAATATAGTCCTTTTCTTCAGCAATGGGTTCTTTGGCATTTGACAGGTCTGTATTACTGGGTGCTGTGTGATGAGTTAATTCTCCAGCCATTTTTTCCCATTTGAACTTACATGAACTCTTTGTTCATATATCACTGGTCATATCCTTTAAGTATTAATCTACCTCTATGCCTCTATCTTTTTCCTTTTAGTTAGAGACCATATAGTGCCATTAGACACCAATGCAAATGTAAATGCAGGTAGTGAAATTGTGTACCAATATCCAGCTTTAAGAGCCTAATCCAGATGATCCAGAAGATGGTCATATTAATTTATTTTAGATTATCATCAAAAATGCATAATTTATAAACCTAGTGCACTCTGGACCTTCAAGAATATAAATCACTACCCTTGGGCTCAACAGCACAAAATTGGAAGTCTCAATAGAGGAGAAGCCTAGAAGTGTTGCCTAGGCTTAGAGGCCCTGGTGGCCATGTCAGGGCACATAGTGACTATTTCACTCCTTGAGTCCTAGAAACTTCTGAGTGTGGAAACAGAGGAGCCAGCGAGAAACATGACTGGGAAGAGCACAATGGAGAAACAGTACCAGGTGTGCTTGTTAAAACAGCAGGAATGGCTGTGCAGCTGCTAACTTCCTACACTGCTCTCCTGAGAAGAGCTGGATGTCTCGTTCATTGCCTTTCACATTAAGCTTGTTGGACTCAGATGTCACAGACAGAAACATGAATCTGAGACACAATAAGACATGGCTCATGATGCCAGGGTATAATATCATGATTTCATCGATGTTTGCATAATAGATTTCCTTAAAGCAAGACACATCTTCAGTAGAGCGAGAGTTTTTCTTTCCCTAAGATGTTGGACTTGCTCTCCGCACCCTTTATTTATTTATTTATTTGCAGTAAAAACATTTCACTCTCAATCTACCCTATTAACAAAGGTTTTATGTGTACAACGCACTGTTGATATCAATAGGCACAGTGCTGTAAAGCAGATCTCTAGAGCTTATTCATCTTGTGTAACTGAAACGTTATTCCCTGTAAATAGTAACTACCCACTTCTTTTTTACCCAGCCCCTGGCAACCATCATTCCACTCTCTGCTTCTATGAGTTTGACTATTTTAGATTCCTCATATATGTGGACTCATGCCGTGTCTGCCCTTCTGTGACTGGCTTATTTCACTTGGAATAATGTCCTCAAGGTTTATCCGTGTTGTCACAGTTTGCAGGATATCTTTCTTTCTTATGGTTGAATAATAGACTGTGTGTCCTTTAGACATGCAGTGCCCGTCACGCCTACCTGGCCCAACTGTACCTTCTCCTCTCTTGTCAATTCTTCAGGCTCTTGTCATTTCCTAAATGCCTTCCTCGTCCCCGTTGACGAGGGGGCGCACAGACAGAATGAAAGGGAGTCCTTCCACAGAGGGGCTGAGCTTCAGGAGGAACTTGTTGGGGGCCGTCTAATCCCACAGATGTTTTGTGCTTGCCTGCTACCGCCCTCCTCTTTCCAGCGGGGTTACTACTATACCTAATTATCAGTGTTCCGTGGACCACCTTATGACTGGTTCTGGAAAGTTTTTTTCATCGTTTTTCTCTCCCTCCATAATAGGAACTGAGCGTAATTCCCTTTGTCCATTCTTCCTTTGGCTTTGCCTGTTGGACTTGGCCCTGCCCTGCCTGCCCCACACCACCAGGCTCTCTCTCCAGACAGCACGGGCAACCTGGCATGGACAGCACTGGCTTCTTCAGCAGCACGGGCACAGAGGGCTTGGGTGGAAGGCAGTATGTGCTTTGTGATATTCCTGCCTGTGGCTTGTGAGATTGTTGAAATTCTATCCAAAATACTAGTTGACTTTTTCTAATCCGAAACCTCACAGAGCTCACATCGTGTGTGTAGCGAGTTAAGTGGCAATTGAGGTTTGCAGATTTTTACACGATTTATTCTGGTATTCTTCCAATGGCCTGTGAGCTAAAACTTAAATACATCTTCGTTGTAGTTGCTTCTTCCTGTTTAGAGAGCTTGGCATAATATTTTGTCTTCTGGGCTCAAATAACCATGTAATTACTCTGTAATCATATAGTAATTAGCATGTGCTATATGCATTTATTACATAATTATATTCCTGGAGGATTGTATGGCAATTATACTTGCATTCAGCATATCATTTGATATACCATATCATGAACAAATATATAATTTGTTGCTTTTTAAATTTTATCCTAATTTCAGTGTACCAATCAGGAGCTGGAAACTTATTTGCCTTGTGTGCAGGTAGTCAGGCAGGTGCCTGAACTCCTTTGGCCTCACTTGGTACCTCCTAATTAGACATCTGAGGGAGTCCTAGGGGCTTGTGTGCTGCTGTGGACTTTCGGCATTTGTACTCCTAGCACTTTCTTCTTGTCATGAAGTCATTAAGTTATTAGCTTCAAAATTCATTAAGTTCTAGAGCTGCCGGCCATGCCAGGTAAATGGCAAGATCTCAATTAAAATGAAGTAAGTGCGAGCGGGCCCGGAGCCGAGCACTGTGACCATGCCTGTCTTTCTTTGCATTTGCAGTGGAACACATTCCCAAGGGGAACAACTGTCTGGACGCGGCCAAGGCCTGCAACCTCGACGACACCTGCAAGAAGTACAGGTCTGCGTACATCACCCCGTGTACCACCAGCATGTCCACTGATGTCTGCAACCGCCGCAAGTGCCACAAGGCCCTTCGGCAGTTCTTTGACAAGGTCCCGGCCAAGCACAGCTACGGGATGCTCTTCTGCTCCTGCCGGGACATCGCCTGCACAGAGCGGAGGCGACAGACCATCGTTCCCGTGTGCTCCTATGAAGAGAGGGAGAAGCCCAACTGTCTGAATCTACAGGATTCCTGCAAGACGAATTACATCTGCAGGTAAGTGCACTGGCAGCAATGATTAATGAGGTGACTGGGAGAGCCTTGGCAGTTGCTTTGGCTGCCAAGTTCTCACTTTGTGCATCTACCAGGGTAGGGAAGGGAGGCAAGGGCAGTTTGTTTGAATGGATTGGCAAAAACCTGAACCCTGCCTCTGACACGTGGTTCTTCAAAAGCTGTTCTGGTTCTCACACTGGGAAAGATTCCATACTCAGTAATGCTTTGAGGGGTGCTGGCATGAGGTAAAACACTGCTGCAGTCCCTGGGTACCTCGCATGTGAAAAGGTCCCCTGTGGCAAGGTGACCTGGAGGCACGGGCCCACTCCTCAAGGTCTGAGGGGCTGCCAGGGGTTAAGTCAAGAGTAGAGTTGGCTGGAGGTATGGAGGCTCCTGACCTTCAGGGACAGAAAACGAGAAGAGACCAGTGAGAGAAACTGAGCAGTATCCATCCATCCATCCATCCAGCCGTATCCATTCAAAGGAGAACTTTGAATGCCCGGATGTGTTCTGGGCCATTCTGTGGCTACAAAGAATGGGCACTTTCCCACTCAACCCTTTGCTGAGATTTCAGCCTCCATCAGAAACCCTGTCCAGCCTAAACCCCGATATTGAAAACATTCACTTATTTTTCCTTTTTGGTTATTTCTAATTTATTTTAATGTCTAAAGGAATCTATGAACATATTCTCTGTATAAAAAGGACAAAAGCAATCTAGAATTAGGTAAAGAGAATTAGAATTAGGTAAAGAAATTAGCTCTTCCCTCTGCTCACATCCCAAGCCTCAGGCAACCACTGTTAACAGTTTGATGTATGTCCTTCCAGAACCTGGGGTTTAATTCAGTTACTGATCAAAGCAAGTAGATTGGGGTATCATAATGGACAATACCTGTACTTTGTCCCCCGGGTAAAATCCAGGAGGCTTCAGTGCCATCTTTGATATATGTTAAACAGGTAGACAAGCAGATGAGAGTGTGAACACCTGCTTGTTTGCTTATAACCTCATTTCTAAGGAGCTGAGAGCAGGAAAAATGTGTGAGGTGTGATTCTGGTTTCCTGCATTTCTGGCCAACTTAAGTTTTATTCTGGTAGAAGGGGATCCCACTATCTCCTTAAACCAGCTCCAGTAATAACCAAAGTAAGTTGAAAGTCCTTGTTATCTGTATGTCTCTTATGCTGGGGATTTTTTGGGAGTAATGTCCTCCCACCTTCTTTTTGAAGTTTGAAGCAGGTGACCTCTGCTATATGAGAAAGGATTCAGAGGACCAAATGACCAAACTCATATGAACAGAGTTTGCAGAGTTTGCATTTGGGAGGAGGCAGGTGTTCCGGCAGTGCAACTTCAAGGACTCTTTCTCACTTCCAAGCCCCTGGCCCATGCAAACCCTCTTAGCTGTGGACTAGGATCATGTGTGCTAGAAAGGTCCTGTGGAAGAGGCAGGGCCTCAGCAAGCCAGTAACCTAGGGAAGCCAGTTGGTTAGGGCACCAAAGAATCTCTTGTTGAAATGAATGTGGCCAAGAAGCAGGACAGGGAGAAGCTGTAGGAGATTTATTTGGTGTGCAGCGAGGGGAGGAAGTAGAGATCTTGAAGATCCCTGGATCTGAAACCCAAATTCCTGGGGCCCTTTAGCCTTTGAGCAGAAGGGGTTCCCCTTCTGGGAGTAGGGCTGGGTTTTTAGAGTTTTACTTGGCTTAAAGCCACACGACTTCTCCCTGTCTGTACAATAAGATTTTTCCTGCCTACTGATGGGTCCAAGGCAGGAGACCTGGGCTTTTGGTCCTGCCTTGAGATGGTGAAGCTGTATGCATGGATGAGTTTCTTACCTTGAATCATGACTAGGAAGTAGGAGAGCTGGTGGTGATGGAGCCTTTTCCTTCTCTCCTCCCAGGTTTATCTTACACATGAGGGCCAGAGAAGGTCTGGGATCCCTCTGGCAGAGGCTGAAAGTCCATGCCTAGCAGATAATTTGCATTCCCTAGCTTGCTCTTCTAAAAAGAGAAAATCCTTGGCGGGTTGGTGTAAATTCCTTAGATTAGTTGCTTTCCTTGCTAAACTTCAGTGAGAATAATTTAGATGTGGGAACTTGGAGTGCTCTGGGGCAGGTGGAAGGAGGAATCTGCAGATGATGGAATGGGCTGGGTGCTGTCTGGGACCTCAGACTAAGGCCTCCCTGGTAGGAAGAACAGGTTCCAGGAACTGTTTAAAACACCTGCAACATGAGGAAGTGAACTCAACTGATGGGGCAGAACGTACAACAGGGGGACAGACAGCCCTTGCCTGATTACTGCCTGTGCCTGAGTAAAGCGAGGTCGGGATGGGGTGGGTGCAGCTACTGTGCAGTGAGCGGGGGAGCTCCCTGGGCCAGAAGGTAGGACTGGAGGCAGAGTTTGTGCTGTTGTTTTGGAAATAACTCAGAGGCACACTGTCCTGGGGCTCGCCCAAGTGAAATTTGTCTCAGTGTGATTGATGAGTTGTATACCCTGTCCTGAGTCTTTGCTGGGAAGGTGAATCGGTGACTTTCCTGGTGTTACCGTTGTTAAGTTATTTAGCCCATAATTTCTTCCCAGAGCCTGGATTTATTCCTCATGATTACGCCCTCCCTGTCAGATGTGGTAAATGTAATCTGAGCTGCTAGGTTGGCTAGCGGTGTTTTCTTTCTTGAGATTTTATTAATCTTGTCTTTAATTTTATGCCTTTTATGCCATCCCTTCCCAACCCATCTCGGTGAGGGTGTTGTTACCACCCAGAGCAGCAGCTGGTACTAGCTGGAGCTGGGGGCTCTGAGGGGCTCAGGGTACAGCTGCTGTAACCCTAACCCCATCATTGCTGTGATGACTTAGGGCCTCATTTGACAGCCCCAAAGGGAAGAGACCAAGAGGGAAATTGCTTCCTAAAAACCACATTCTTCGAAAGTCCACACTTTCAAATGCTCCGTTTCCATCTTGACATCAGCAACTATCAAAGAGCTGCTCGGGCTCATTAAAACTTCCCTGAACTTAATGTTTTCCAACTCAGGGCCTACAGGTTTCCTTCCCCAGGGTCCAACAGTGCCTCTGCGCAGAACCTGTCTCTCTTCCGCCTTGTGCCTTCAAACAGATGAGAAGCAACGTGCGCCTTTCCTTTTGACTTTGTTTTCCTTTTTCCTTTTCCCTTTTAGGGAAGCTGACAGGTTCCTTTCCCCTTGGGGTGGTTGGGGAGAGTCAAAGCTTGACTGTTTGGGCCTCCAAGCTTGTCTTCAGAAAAGCAAACGCAGAGGTACTATTAGAAGGGTGTGATGGAGTTTAAAAGCCTCACATTCTTCCCCTGAAGCAGTGTCTTCCCTGCCAGTTTTCCTCTGGTTACTTTTCTTGGTGCCTAGGAGGATGTCAGAACTGGGTTTGACTGAATGGAAGCATAACCTTTTATTCCTAGTTATATATACATAATTTAATGTATATATGGTTATAGATACATAATTTAAATTTACATCATCCCTCCTTTCTCCTAAACTCTGACATCCAGAATAAGCTCAGCACTTGAGCACTCTCTCAAGGTGTCACAAATATGTTCCTATCTCTTTATTTTTGTAATTAATCTCTCAAGAGGTCCTCCATGTGCCCTTGAGCATGTCCCCTCCTGTTTTCATTTAAGAATCACAGAGGTAAATTCCAAAGTCCATTCTGCCTCCAAGGCCAAACAATGGGGGAGCGTGAGGACACTAAGCTGCCCACTTGCCTGGTGGCTTTAGCTGCTGCTACATGGGATCGCTGTTGAGAACAGCCCAGGGCTTGCTTGGTGATTTGGTGGTCTTGCACTTTTGGCCATTCTGCAGATATACCAAAGGTGGTGCATCCTTGAACAACTGAATACCAACTCTTAGTTCATATTTACATATGCAACTGTTGTTTCCCAAAGTATGACATTTTGCCCCGGGAGGCTGTGTCCTAAGTCCTAAGGGGTTCCAGCCAGAACCAGCCCTCCACCTTGAACACCAACAGCCCAGGCTGTCCTTTTCCTGGCAGTGTGTTGCTAGGTGCAATCGAATGTTGCATTTGTGTTCTTTCTTGTCAACAGTGCTGAGTCAAGGATACTTCACTCTTTTTAGAAAAATTCTGATAATGCTGATGGGTTAGGGGTTCTGTGCACTCTCTCCCCAAGGCTCTTTTGGCCCCATCCGGCTCTCCATCCCCATAGTCTCTGAGAGCAGTGACTTTGATCAAGTCACCAAGTATATGGTTCTACCATTCCCCAGAGACTGAGGATTCTATAATCATATCCTGGAGGCCATGGGATATTTTTAGCAGAACCAGGAAGGTCTTCCTTGGCACAGCTCCAGAACAGCACGTGCAATTTTCAACATTCTGCCCTAGCCAGCACCACACTTGCCACACTGGAGGTGACCCCGTTATACTGAGAGAAAACATATGGTTGTTAATTTGTCAACTAGGGCAATTGAGGAGACATGTCACAAAACTATGCAGCAAATTTCTCCTTTAGTAGCTTATTTGGTCTGACAGAGTTAGTGCCACTTTACAAGGTGAGAAATGTGTTTCACTTGCCTGGAATCAGACCCTCCCCACAATAAACTGTGGATCTTAGAGATCAAGGACATCCTCTCCTGCTTGGGCTTAAATTCCTGAGTCAAAAAATGGATTCTACATCACTGTGTTCAGGCTTGCCTTGACACGCAGCAAGCGCAGGAGAAAATGACTTAGAGGATAATTAATGCCTAAAACTAGATGGGTAGATTAATTTGGCTCTTAATTTTATTTTACACTGATTCATTCACAAATGGAAATCAGCAATTAGACAATGCAAACTTTTGAACCATGGAAAGAAAGGTTCGGGAATATGAGAAAATACAAGTAAAACATTTTCCAGTTCATTTGAACAGTTTTCATTTCGAATGATTACATGGGTGTCTTTAGCAGAGCATTCAGAGTGCTGAATGTCTCATTTTTAATGTGCCCCAGCTGCACGAGCTGCCTGCCACCGTGCCTGCTCTGGAGGCTCGATGGACTC